TCGTTATGAGTTGGAGTCGACTCAGTGGCACTTAATAACAACAGAAACATAGGAATAACATACCAACCTCAAAGAATTATTGTAAGGTTTCAATATTCCAAGGTCAATTGGCATAACATAATACACAAAGTCAATGTTCTACATCCAACTTTGGTGAGTAGTGACTGGGATCTTGAAAGCTTGTGAGCAGTCAACTTAGGTGCAACTATTGGCCTCTACCATCTTGAAGGAAGAACAGTGATGCAAATTGAAGATATTTGGAAATAATTAGTTTAATGAACTAATGGACCACACAAAAATCCATGACCCTGAGACCAGAAAAACTTGATTGTGCCTGGTTACCACTATCGACTGCTCTGGAAGGGATTTCATTAAGAAGGTCCTTGATAGAGTGGGAGATAAATGTGGAACAAGACTCAAAAATCATAAAAAAGGACCAGCTTTCTGGTGGGATGGACACTAGTGGAATTTTCGAGACTATGGTCCTTAATCACCCTTTAGGTCTGGAAATAAACTCACCTCTAAGGTTCAGTTTTTTGACAAACAATAGAGAAGTTGATAAGGGGAATAATAGCAATAGTAAAGTATGCACATCTTAGAATAATCAACCATTTGAGAGCAAAACGACAGCAGCTATTCAAGAATAAAACTCAGAGGGTTAGGAAAGAAGGAGGAGTAGAAACTGGTAATGCAGAGATGAAGACGGATAAATGATCTTACATTGAGGGGATTTAATCAATGAATCACAACAAAATGTGTATGAATTGGTGAATGTAAAACTGATGATCCACTCTGTAAACTTCATCCAGTTCAAATAAAAAGTTAAAAAAAAAAAAATGTCAAGTACCACGGAGTCGGTTCTGACTCATAGGGACCCTGCACGGTTTCCGAGGTTGTAAATATGTCTCCCGCGGAACGCCTGGTAGTTTTGAACTGCCAATCTTTAGGTTAGCAGGCTAATTCGTAACCACTACGCTACCACAACTGGCTGCAAATAAGACCACCACAGTAAGTTAGATTACTTGCTTGAAGAAATTTAAAGGAGCCTAGTCGTGGGGCTGTGGGTTAATACGCCAGACTGCAAAGCCGTTTGAACTGCAAGGTCGGCGGTTCAAGTTCAACAGCTGCTCCTTGGAAATCCTGTACAGGATCCCTATGGGTCGGAATCGACTCCACGGCACTTAACAACAACGAGTCGCTAGGGAGAGGAAGCCTAACGTTGTCATGTGACGTCATCATCCCGCGCTAACTGCGACGGTTTCCGGGCCCCTTCTGGGCAGTGGTGCAAGCGATGGGTTCGTGGCAGCATGTGCTGCTTTTTGGTGAAGTGTTGCTCCGGCGTTGTGGCGGGGTCACAGCCCCAGTTGGTGGCAGTCGAACGTTGGTTAGTCGGCGCCAGGTCCGTGGTGCTGCGAGGCCGGCAGAAGAGGGCGGGGCAGAGATGCAGGGGCTGCAGGGCGACATGTGATTGCACTGTCTTCTGTCAAGGACTCCCCGTAGTCCCTCGTGGGCCCTCTGCGCTCACCAGGCTGCTCAGTTAGACTAATGTTGACTGGACGTCCCCACCTTGTAGGCAGACTCCCATTAGGGCCAGGCCGAGGGATAAGAATGAGATGGTTAGAACATGGATGTGTATATTACACATTGCTTTCCTGATTTTGGGTTATTTTAAAAATAAATTAAAGGGAAGGAAAACACATAGACGATTTAACGACATAAAATAGGC